GGGGGGTTGGACAGTACATGGTCACCTCTTTGATAAATACAACTTCTGACTTCCAGACAGTCTTGATATACTGAGATCAACAGAAGGGAATACACGTAAAGCAACTGACTTTCCTTTTGCCTTTCAGGTTGCTTACAGATTAATTTTTGTTTCTTTCTATTTATTGTTTAAGAGGCGAATACACGGTGATGTGTTGAATTGGGCTACAGTTACTTACTTTCCTTGAGACAAATAAGATTTGAAATGTGTCTCTAATTCACCAGACGTCGATATGATTTACCTATATTTATTTAAGTTTTATAGTTTTATTAGTGTTTTAACGGCGCTCGCAACTGCATAAGGTCATTTGAGCGCCAATATTTATTTCAAATCATATCAGAGACTTCGACAACGTCACCCAAACACCTCACACGTCCACATTACGTGGGGTGTAAGTGGTGATGAGTTGGACAAGCATGCTGAAATCAAATAATGATTTTGTGTATGGTAATATTAAAATACATTACTCTAATAATACATTACTGTAATAATAACATGGCTGCTGTATAATTCACAGCAAAGTTGCTTGTTAGAGATCTTTTGCTTCGTTTATAGGAAAAGACAAGCGGACTTGAAATAGAGACCAGCTTATCTATCACAGCTCTCGCCAAAAATAAAATAAAATAGAATAAATAAAAATAAAAGCAAAATATGCCCAACAGACAACACACTGTTCTCAACTTGTCATTTCATTTTTCTGTTTCACAATAAAGAACTATCTTGAACGACTTCAAGATCAAGTCAAGTTCGATATCTCCTGTCATTTTCCCCTCCTGTTTATACATGCTCTACCTGGTGTAAGCGTCTTATCTATGATCAAATTACGGATTTATTATTTTATTTTTTTAGCAAATGGGTGCGCCTTACAGGCCGCGTTTCTTTACCGATCGTACTTTACTGATAGGACCAGGCATGTGAAAAAGAAAACCAAAGTGGCCTTCTGTATTGCTCTCCACAATACATTTGCATGTTAAATAGACGAAGTGGAAGATTGGCTTAGGTGTGTTACTCTTCACGTTGTGTGTGATATTTTGAGAGTCCACCTGGACTTTTCTAACTTTAATGTTTTAAGGGGGGGAGGGGGGGAGGGGGGGAGGGGAGGGGGGGAGGGGGGGGAGCTACACCCCCAAAGTCAGATTCGGCTCAAAATTATGGATTTTGAGTTGTAGGCGTTTTTAGCTTCCTCAGCCACTCCTACAACTATTTCATTGCATAAGAACCCCAAAAAAACGTATTTTTTCCCATACCGGGCATGTTTGTCACCGCCATTTCCTCATAAAGGCAATATTTTATTTTTCTTTATCGGCCGTTTTCTCAAAACGCGACTTTTCTCTATACTTTTTGAATAACTCCACCAGTTTTCATTCAATCTTCATGAAATTTTCACAGAATGAGGAAAAGATGTAATACTAAAAATATTTTTGTTGAATTTTTTATATAATATGGAAGAGATTTTTGTTGGTGGTGTCTGGAGTGTGGATTTTCACGGATTTTTTGCAAACTTGAATGCTACCTCTGGAAACAATTCATTTAAAATGTTCTAATTCGTTTAGGAATAAAATAACTGACGAATTTTTAAATCTAATGTTTGTTAAGACGCATGCAAAAAAAAAATTAATTTCCATGAGCGACAAGTGCAGTATTCATTACGTAAGACATGTCAACAAGATCCAATATGGCCGCCGTATCCATGGAAACAAACTTTTTTCTCAAATTTGATTGAGGATTTTAAAACTCCTTACTATGCGTGTTATATGTGTGTGAAATGTGGTAAAATTTGGTCCAGTAATAAGCGAGATAGCCTTCAAGTGTAGTTCCCCCCACCCCAAGACCAGAAATGAAGAAATAAAAAAGTTGAAGGGGCAGAGCGACAACTGTGCAACTTGTTATTAACAATAGCGATCAAGCGAATAGTATATCAGAAGAAGCAAAAGAGGATCACACGTTTTAAAGTCAATATGGGGTCATACTGAATTTTTAAAAAAATCCTACCGAGATTTAACAAAGCAATACATGTCAATGTTATATATCTGTCATAAATTTCTTTAGCTACAAGTCATGCTTCATATGAGAATACAAAATCAAATTTCTAACCGATGACACTATATAATAATATAGATCTAGAAGTATTTCTCTCTTTTTAAAAAATTAATTACTGAAAACCTGAATCTCTATTGCCTTTTACTTTGGCTCTCCTATCGTTTAACTCGGTTCCCTGATATCACTTTATCTACCACATCGTGCCCTTTGGAGATTTTCAAAATACCAAGTTCGTGAGCTGGGGGTGGCCGTGATAAGGAAATACTTGTGTAAACACTTTCCAGTAGGTAGCACAAGTTTGCGAGAGATTTAAGCGACGTCAAATCGACCAACGCACAGCGGCCTACCCGTATCTAAGTGCTGTTACAGTGTATCTCCTATAATTGTCCCACACACTGTACTCTCAGAAGGAAAACTGTGCTTTGACATTTCCGTCCGTATCTCATGGGGATGAATAAAAACAAACAAAACAAGGAAATAAATGACAGATTGAGCTGTCGTTTATGTTTTATTATTTACTGTTAAAATTGTGACAGCCATTTGCAACGTTTTCAATCTTTCTTCTTGCCTTGTGTATTCCTATTTTTCGTTCTACGTTTCTTTCTTTATGCTTCCAATTATTTCTTTATGTTTTCTTTCTTTGTGTCCTGCTGTCTTTCTCCATGTTTTTCTTTTCTTTCTTTCTTTCTTTCTTCTTTCTTTCTTTCTTTCTTTCTTTCTTTCTTTCTTTCTTTCTTTCTTTCTTTCTTTCTTTCTTTCTTTCTTTCTTTCTTTCTTTCTTTCTTTCTTTCTTTCTTTCTTTCTTTCTTTCTCCCCACTGTCTCTTTTTACGCTCTCTGTTTTTCCTTCTCTCTTGCTCTCTCTTTTTCCTGTTCTTTCGCTCTGTTCACGAAGAGTGAACGGGAAGAGAGGCATTCATGATAACATGGTATTGGGATGAACAGACCCCAAGACACAAAGCCTGAAAAGGAATAAGAGAGTCCCTGTCCCAAGACGGGAACGTGTGGAATACAAAGCCACAAATTATTCCTGCACCGGAAATTTAAATTAAAACACACCTAAAAAAAAGTAAAATTAGCTAATCTGAACGCTCCATAAAACAATTCCAATAAGAACAACCTTACATACTGAGCTCAAGGAACTGCCGAGTTTAGTGCGAGGTCTGCATGCACATTTTAGCTCTTTTTCTGCTGCTCGTCAGTCTCTTTCCGTCTGAGAACGTGCAGCACGACCGTAATATTGTTTGAGATAAAGGAGCATGGAGCAAATGCAACTTTTCACGATGCCAATGGCGATTGTTTTTGTTTTCTCTTAGTAACATAATGTATTCAGAGACTAGACATGCCTTCTAGTTCATTTCCTAGCCTGTTGTTACATATGATTTCTTTGTTCTGCTTGGCAGGTATACCCTTTCCAATCAGTATCTACAAAGACAGGCAAGGCTGCAGCAGCTGTGAGTTCCTGTCCAACATCTGTATCGTTTCAACCAGAGAGGCTGACAAGAAAAAAAAACAGTTGGTCGAGGCATTTGTGAGACTTTAAACATGTGAGCGAAAGGCATATGTGCGAGGTTGGATACAACTGATTCTGACATGTGGTGGCATCTGTAGATTCTGTTAAGACGTTTACTCATTACCTTCATTCCTAGTCTTAATGAAATGTTCTACAAGAGAAGAACATCCCATGCCCAAAGAACTGACATCGGTTGAAAGCTCTAAGGCCTTAGAGTCTTCCGGTCGTTTTCTGCCACGGCTGAGCCCGGAGGAGAAGGACCTAGATGCTTCCCAGTCTTCACAATTGCTGCAAAGCCTGAGGCGACCAGCGCCGGGATCGTCTTCTAAACTGTCAGCTTCTTTCGCAGAGATGGTTGGACTACAAGATAATGAGAAGAGGATGGACAGGAAGGCTATGGCTAGACGCCAGCTGCTTGGAGGGCTAAAGCCCTCTGTCTCTCAGGATCATGGTCTGGGTAGGGGTGTGCGCAGGACACAAAGTCTCAACTATGGTCCCCATGCGGGAAATAATATTTCAAACGGTGGTGGGCCACGGACAGGGCCTTCGGAGCATGGTAAAATTTCATCACCGTCTCCAGAACAACCATCAAAGCGTCAGTTGAGACGAACTGGCTCTCTCCGACACACCACAGTCAGTGATAGAGAAACTCGAGACACAATACAAAACTGGAACGAACTGGTTCATGAACTCAACGCCAGTCATCACTTTCCGTCACGAGACACTCAGGGGCATTTAGAAATCGTTTCAGATTCTTCAGAAAGCCCCTCCACGTTGACACCTGTGAATATTATCAAGCCGAAAGTAGTCACATTCAACAATAACGGCATTCTTCGCCAGCAAAAACAAAATAAAAAAACAGCCATATCGGCCGTTCACAACGTTTTTCCTTCTGGGATTGGCATCACAAAGTACCGGCCAATTACGCCGAATTTGCTTCACAGCTTGGACAAGAAAAGACAGCCCTCCAAACGCCGTACTCAACAATGGCTCAATCAAATAGAAGTAAACAGACGGGCACAAATGACTGTTTCCCTCAGAGATGAACCTAATCGCGCCCTGTCCAAATCAACACGTGTGGACAACCCTGACAGCGCTAGTCCCCCTCTTGGGTCAACTTCGGGGAATATTTCCAAACCTGGATACGGATTTTTATGAATCTGTGCAGACTACTACATCGACTATTAAGTCATATTACAACGAGTCACGGAATGGCCATTTTCATAAACATCGTGCCATAATTTTCCCCCCAAAAAACCCTCAGTGTCAAAAGGAGATATATATTTTGCCACAGCAAACGCTGTTCTTAGTATATTCCGCAACGAGTCCAGCATTTCTATTTACCTGGCACGGCCTTTCTGTTTAAAATGAACGTATGTAACTGAAAAGGTATTGGCTTCTGTCAACCATAAACCATACACAGTTGAGCACACGTCGGTAAGACTCGATGAAATACTTCCTCTTCATGTAACGCGGTGTTCGAGATTTTGTTGAGTTTCAGACATGGGTACAACAAAACATATAATGGTGAAGGATTATTATAGAATTTATGACTGTGTCTTTTTTACTATACTTTAATGACACTATGTTTTAATAGTAATTGTTTGAGAGGAGTCGCTCATTATAGCTTATTAACTTTATTAAGTACGGCAAGTTCGGCCCCATGTAATAATTGTTCTGTAAAAATAGTTTACGCAACGTTAGTTTTAACATTTCCTTATTGACAGGTCAATAGCATCCATTAATACTTCAATGAAGAGAAGTCTTTGGCCTTTTAAAAATATATCTAAAAGAAAAAAACTCAAGCCCCTTCAGAATATTGAACAGAAAAGCATGTTTTTTAAATGTTAATTAAGATTTTATAGCCTAATTTCCCCCATAATATACAACTCATATCAAGCTCCATACTGTATCGTTTTTTTTTTCATTTAAAAAATTGATTTCTATTCTATAATGTCTTCAACCTTTGAAAAGAAAGATGAGGTTATGATTCCAGAAATGTTATTCCAAAAACTTGGAAGTTTCTAAGAACTAGAGTTTTATGGCCGGCCTGGTACAAAATATGGCTGAAAAAGATGTTTACCTTTTATAGTCTCCTCGTCAGCCTCCAAAACAAAAAAGAGGGGTGAAAAAGGATTGTTTGTACTTTTATTATCGACTTTGCAATATCGTAGCCTGTCTCTCTTCAGAAGTCGAGAATAATAAACCTGTGAACCTGTCGGATGGTATGTGTGTCCTTAGTGGCAAAGAAACGAAACTGGCGAGCTCTGGGGTCCTCCAGCGTCATTGTATGTCGTGTATGGCAATGACTACGCACTAAGGCTGGTTGATTCTCTTTAAAAACAGTACAACAACATTATATTAAGTTTATTTATTCTTCGCTCCACTATCTTCTCTACCTTAACACCGCCACCATTCCCTCTTTCTGTGTGTGCATGAGCGTGTGTTTGTATTTGTGTACATGCTCGTGTGTGAGAGCGTATACACGCGCGTGTCTCAGTGCCAGCAAGCATAGAAATTATTATTTTGTCAATGTTTGATTTTAGTATACATTCCCGTAGGAATGATAACAGTATATGTACACCAATTGGGATATTGTGCAAGTCGGTTCGAAGATGCATTGTTACAAGAATGCTTGATCTATTGATGACAATAAAGACAAACTACAGCATTTTGAAATACTACACTGTTTCCTTCTTATGTAGATGGGGGTTTTTTTACACAAAATTGCTGGTCCGCACATTCTCCAAAATTACATAATTTAACAATCTATCAACCAAAGGTCAAAGTCTGTATTAGGTATAATATATTAATTGTTAAATGCTGAAACTGGGAGAGAGAACAGCAAGCTACACATATTCATAAGTGGAAGTGGAGCTTTTTAAATAAAAAATAGTGCACATTGTTCTGTGCCATTTGGACTTATTGCCCATAACAAAAGCAACAAGTTATTTTAACTTTGAATTCTTTTTGTTGTTGTTGTTGTTGTTGAGAAATATTTTATTCTGTGAATACATTGGTCTTAGTCAGACATAGAAGGACGAACGTTTATTAATTGTTAAATAACATATAGATTATAACATTGTGATATATATTGCTGGTCACCGCTTTGCAACGCCCCATTTTTGAGACGAGGTTACAAACACACTCCAGCGACCGCTCATCCAAAACCCTCTCACCTAATACTGCTTACCGTCCTCTGAAAACCTGCCCATTCAATTACTGGGCCAAAAACACTCCTAATAATTTATTTTTATTTCAGTAATCTGCGCCTTCCTACCCCCCCCTCTCTCTCTCTCTCTCTCTCTCTCTCTCTCTCTCTCTCTCTCTCTCTGTGTCTGTCTCTCTCCCTCTCTCTCTCTCTCTCTTTCTCTCTCTCTCCATCTAGCTATCCCTCTCTCTCTCTTTCTCTCTCTGTCTCTCTGTCTCTCTGTCTCTGTCTGTCTCTCTCTCTATCTCTCTCTCTCTCTCTTTCTCTCTCTCTTTCCATGTTCATTGTACTATGAAGTAGTACGTACCAGTATAATCCTACTGTTTTAGTCAATATTTTCTTGGGTATATTTTTGAGATAATCAATTCTAAAAGCAACATTTTATTTTTCTGCTAGAAATATGTGCTCAATTCAAAAAAGAATTCAAACATTATACTGTGTGAGACATAGCAAATTGACACAATGTCAAACGTTGACAAATTGTAAATTTTTGTTTTGATTAATGAGACGCCCCCCCCAAATGTCTGGATAAGGAGAAATAAATTACGATGGACGAATATCTACGGTACCCCTGACCAAACATCAGGACAGGAGGAAAAATTTCAGAGATGAGGAGTAAATTTCGGACCATTTGCATTGTGTTTTCTAGGTCAACTTCGTAACATACTTCACGAGTGTGGCCATAGGAGCAGAACAGATCTTGGCCCTGTGTCCCAAATGCCCGACTTTTTGTCCATGGCCTACCCGCTAATGTATGAATGCCGGGCTTTACTCTTTGATTTAAGAAATAATTCTAAAATCAATGTGAAAGGGAATCGCGACCACGTAACATAATGATATACTAGAAGTGCTTGCGCCAACATGACTTTTTTGTCAGCGGGGTGAACACGGCGTTGTGCAACTGTGACAGCCCACCGTCAAAAGTAAGAGCTATTTCAGGAACTGTCTATTTTATAACAGATGTCGCCCTTATTAGTCCTTTTTTCACATTTGCAAAGAAAACTCCCTCCTACTTAGAGCAGTAGATCTACAGAAGAAAATGGAGACCGCTGAAGCAGAAGAAGGAATGCACACTTTGGCTTGGAAACTTTCAAAACAAAACATGATTTCTCCTAAATACTGATATTTATAGTTCTTTGTCCTCATTCCTAACATTTGTAAACGCTTAACCGTACTTCACTAAAAAGTCAATTTAAAGGGTTGTGCAGTTGGGAACATTTCAATGTAAAGAACCCCGGCGGGAAATTTTTTTGACTCACGGATTGTTCAAATTTTAAAATATCATTCAATAAATCCTGCATAGCAACAATTTCAAAATATACTGTATCTACCGCCTTTGGTTATCACTTTTATAGACGCGATGTTTCAAATGTTCGAGAATGCTACGTTTTGTTGTATTTTGTGTGGCGGTCTTTGAAGTATTGCTGCCATTTCGCGGTATTCTTGCATTATGAAATACGATTTGTATAAAATTTTGTCTTATGGATATCTGCATGATTCTCGTTTCTGTACGATCCAAAGTACCTTTCACTATACCGTGACTGACGGGGAACAGAAAAGGCAAAAAACAAAACAAAGAAACAACAACAACAAAGAAACAACAAAACAACCTTTACCCTCAAAATACCAAACATTGCAGATCATCGGAATCCGAAGTCCAGTGTCTTAAATGTACATGGTAAATCCAAAGCAGGTTTTGTGTCTCATAAACGTTCTTGTGTGGCTTAAATCACAATCAGTCATCATCGATATCGATGGGTAGCTGAAGAGAAGAGGTTATACGATAATTAAATCCAATTTTCCGTGACCACCTTTTATGGAAGAAGCAAAGCAAACCAAACCAAAACTCACCCCACTTGATTGGAGTACTCAGGTTGCTGTCCCTGTGAGAGTTTTGAGGCAAGGGGCATAACCGAAGCAATACTTCAGCAAATAACAGTTATCTGTCTACTTTTCTCCCTTGTGAAAGTAGTTCTCTCACCCATTCAAGGCTTGCGCAATTAAAATCAAAACAAAACAAAACAAAACAACAAACAAACAAAGCAAAACAAAACAAATAAAAAACCCAGACAAAAATAGATGTTAGAAACTCCTTAATTGCCTGGCCCGAGACTGTCTTGAGCTCTTTAGTTGGACTATGCAGTAGGCCTAGGGGTGAATGAGCTATGTTTACTATAGGCTAATACATTTTTTTTACAATGTTTTCCCCTCTCTGTGAATGCTGGACTATCGGTATTGTTGAAGAGCATTTCTAGCCCTTCTTACCACCATTTGTAATCTACCCAGGAACCTACCTCTATTTAAATATTTTATATCACACTACGTTAGGCGCACACAGAGTAATTTTAGCTGCGCAACAGTTGCTGTCTCCGAACAACTTATTTTATTTTCAGCGCCCACAGAGCTAAGCAACAGCCAGGCAACAATAGGCTATCATCATTACTGACTTTTTCATTTGACACCATGGACTTCCACGACCTCCAAGTTGTCTGCGCTCTTGTGGTTGCACTTACAAAGAAGAAAAGGAAAACGTGGTTTTGAGTTCACCATTTGACCTGCAGAGGTTTTTAAAAAGGCATAATTTTGTCAAACGGCATGAAGATTTGAGAGCATACTCTCCCAAGTTTTTAAAAACTATTATCGTACGTATGAGCTCGGACAGTTTTAATTAACTTTGTGTATAGGTTTGGTATGTAACACAGGGGATTGAACAACAGTTGTGTTGTCGGAAAGTTGTGACAAAACACAAACTTTTCAGTCTCCAAAAAACAGAGTTGCCTGAGCGTGCGGTGCTTATTTATTTCTTTGTTTACATTTTGGCAAGAAAACAGTTGCGCAACTTAAGTTACCCTGTGCGCGCCTAGCCTTACCTGTGTTACCTCCCCCACCCTTTCATTTCCACCCCTTCACGCCCTTTCTCTTCCCTCTCTTTCACTTATTCTCTTCTCCGTCCCCTTTCCCCTCAATTTCTAAAAATCCCCTTTCCCTCCCCTAAACCCCAATAACATTCTCCCCGTCCCCCTAACGCTTTCTGCCCCCCCCCCCCCACACCAATTCCATGCCCCCTCCCCAACCCATAATAAAAAATAATTTACCCACCTTAGCAGCACCGATGGTTCAGGAACAACCTCATTGACTGCGGTAATGCTGCTTTTGTACACAATACACTATATATATAGAGTTGCAAGAACATATATTTTAATGTAGTGTTTTCTTACGTCTCCAACGACAGGAAAAACTTCAGTTTCATGATATGTAATATAAAAAAAAAAAAAATCAGCGCGTTTGTTCATGTATATTGGTTTTGTTATTTTGCATACATTATGCATAATCGCTTGAAAATAATATTCAGTTGACTACTGGGGGTTTTTTCAAACAGCTTTAGGCATTTTGTTGATACAAGACAAAGTTAGAGATATATGTTAACATCTAGCCTGCGTTTCCTTTACTAATACTATTACTAAATATTTGGATATTTCACTGAAGTTACAAGAAGGTAGAAACCTAGTTTTGCTTCGCTCAACCCATCGAGGTCGAGAAGCTGAGCGAAAAATGAAATAAGAGTCACAGAGTGTAAAGGGCTGTTCAATGCTGTGCAATTAAATACAAAGGTCGTTTTCGTGGTATCAGCTCACTGTCATTATCGCTAAGGAGTAGAGAATGTTTGTGGATATTGGGTTGTCAGTTTAAGAGGGAATACGCGTTGCCAAACTTCTAGAATTATCCCCTCCCCCCCCAAACCTATAAAACCTCAAAAGAAGTATTATGCCCTATAACTGAGATTTATGAAACGCAGAAATGCACTTTTACTCCCAGACCTGCTCCGTTACTCAAGTCTTGGGACTGGCATTTGAGGAGTTAACCCAATTTATAAAAAAGGGTAAAAGTGAATTTTGACCCTCATTCATAAAAAAAAAAGAAAGTTAAAGGCGTCTTTTGAGCACAACGTCACTGCAAACCAAATGTGTCCAGACGAAGAGTGGAGACCTCGCATGTGCGTACCTGGCCAAGTAAGCTTCGAATAAGGGATTTAAGCGCGCTTACTTTTATTTTGAAAAGGTTTAAGCTGCTCGAGAAAGAAGGCCTGGTTTCAATGACACGTTATCCTGAATGTAACAACAGATCGTTTACAGACATTGTATACTGGCCACAATCAGGTAAAGAAAAATAGAAGAGCCTTTACTTAACCACACTCACGGAGAGGGGCATCACTTGAAATTGCCAACTTCGGGTCAAATAATGCAATTTGTTTTGTTTACTGACGAGAGAAGTTCTGCCACTTCTGTATCTAAAAACAAAAAACAAAGAGAGAATCTACTAAAATAAATTGTATGAGATAACAGACAAAGAAGTAGAAGCCTATGGAGGAAAAATATTGTTTGGTCATTTTACGTAATAATATTTATTTGTCACAGTTCATCTAGAACATGTGTTTTCTTGAGCAACATGATATCGGGGAGCGGGGAAG